GTGCTACCATCCCGGGTCAAAACGGACCTAATAACGACAGCAATTAAGAAGTGGTTCCGCGCTCCTCTAAACCTCTTGATCAGAGGCCTTGCTGCCGGATATAGTTTATCGTCATACCGAGGACGCATGAGTTTGCGATTCCTTCCTTGGGTGCCAATTGGGGATTATGTCTCTTCGATTCCTCACTGACATGGCAGAAGAACCTTACGTAGTAGGCTGCCGTTACTTTCTCAAGGCTACATAACCCAGTCTATCTTGTTACTTAACCTATAGCTGGGAGGGGGGAAAGAGATGTATTCATACCTTTTCTAATGGGTATTTGCGCGTAAGCGAAACTCGATTCTGAGCAGCACATTCATTATACCATTTGCACACTTAAGGTTTACTATAGTTTGTATTATTTGCTTTAAAAAGATGTCATCTTCAGTGTGGATTCTCTCAGAATTAAGGATTCCAAGGAATTAAGAAAATATTTATATATTACTCTTTTTATATTTTTTAAATTCGTACAACTGAACGGACAAATTTCACTCTGTTCTTGCGATTTTAAAAAACATTTTCTCGAAAAGAAAAGCTCAATTTGTTTCATACTATACTAATTTAGTAGAGGTGATTTATTTTCCCTTAATAATTTTTTTATGGTTAGTTGCGTTATTTATTCTTGTTGCTCTCTTCCCCAAGTCTAATAGTGCGAAGCAAATGTAATTTATCTGAGACAATATTTGCAAACGGATCCCCGGCATCAACACCGGCTATTTTTTGGAAATTAATGTTTCTATAGAGGATTACAATAGAGCGTGATTTATGCGATGTCAGAAAAAGACTGGAAAAATAATAATTGTCACCCTTTAATTGACCTTTGGCGACCTCTAGCGATCACGCCCCCTATTCTACGTTCATTGTCGAGCCATTATCTTAACTCCACCCTTCAGAGTCCAGCCGTTTGGTCTGCCAAAAGTCGCATACAAGTAAATAATCGCCGACTTTATGCTAATAAGTCATTCTGTTTGTATGGTAGTTACGTTTAGAAAGCAGGACTGGATTCTATAAGCATTGCTCAAGCGACACCATGAACTCAATATCCATTCTTTGTTGGTTGGCTTGTCTCTTTCTTCCTTTCTTAATATCTCCTTTTTCTTCTTTCTTTCTTTCTTCTTTCTATACTTTCTTTCTTTCTGTTCATTTCCCTATTTTTTTTATTTCTTTCTTTTATTTCCTGATTTATTTATCACATTCAGTTTTTCTTAATCATATATATATATATATATGTAAAATTATATTAAATATATACACATAATAACTGTTTTATATATATATATATATATATATATATATATATATATATATATATATATATAGATAACTAGACTCGTTCGAAAACCCTCGAATTTTGATTTGCTAATCAAATCAATCTCGAGGGAAAAAAAGGTTTTAAAAAAAGAAAGAGCTACAAGCATGAACTTATGCCGACAAAAAAATCGCACAGATGCAGGTCTGAAGCCCAAAGAAAAAACCCCGATACGAGTAAACAACTAACTAACAAAAGAGCTCAATACAACCGTAGAGCAGACGATCCGTTTAGGTGAAACCTAGGTACGTTTGTCTGGCTCACTAGGTGTATCTCTCTCTCTCTCTCTCTCTCTATATATATATATATATATATATATATATATATATATGTCAATTTAAAATACAATATAATATATTGTAAAAAGAGGCAGTAAAACAGCTGCGTTTAAGAAGGTGCAATTCAAAAAAGCTCTCAATACAAAAAATTAGGGTTGCTGAAACAAAATGTGATTAGGGACACCATAACATAATTCAAGCTAGCACATTACCCAGGTTTCGACCGTCAGGTATAGTCAGGCAGGTAGGATGAAATATTTTCGTTTATTCCCACACTTTTATATACGAACACCAGAAGTTAGGTGTGTAGGGAGGAGGGAGAGGAAATATATTTTAATCCAGGTTCGCCATACACACCAAATATTTGTCAAGGTGTCTGCACTTAAATAACACTTCCGTTCTTTAACTTAGCAGTTCGTCCTCGTTTGGGTATATAGCGATCGTCAATTTTTCCTCTTAGCATAGTTTACAGTAGTTTCCTCGGACTCTGACCGGCTTTATTTATTTAATGATTTTCCACTTTATGTATGGTACGCTACCATTAACTTCTTTTAACCGCCAAACACAATTTGCCAATTTTGTATCATTTTCTATGCCTCTCGAGCCTAAAAGAGTTAGCATGATTGTAATATCTCCTCTTGAATGGACCCCCTGTGCAACCAATGTATGTTTTATTAAACATTTTGCCGTCACTAAATTCCGCTGAGTAAACCACATCTTCTATCAGGCACTCACCGTCCAAAGGACAATTATTACTGTCTCTGCAGTTGCATAGTTTCGTTTTTACCTCCCCAATTCTCCCTGCTTGTAATAGTCTGGTGTTGTGACTTTTTATAATGTTTAATAAGTTACTCGCGCAACTGTAGCCAAGCTTTACTTTGCTTCTGTTAAACACTTTAGCTAGGACAGAATTTCTAGGGAAATACTAATCTAAAAGCTTAAAGAATACTTTGCAAGACACTCTCAAAGACGATTAGTTATATAGTAAATCTGATTTTCATTTCGAGATCTGTAAATTCATTTCTTGTGCAATATGAAAAAAAATATTTTTGGTCGCTTCTCGTTAGAAGCTGACAGGTATTTCCCATTAAAATTGTGATCAGTTCTTCTTTCACCGAATATCCCTATACTGGCGACCTTGTGTCAGACTAGCATAAGAAGAACGGAATTTATTGAGTCTCTATCGACATAAGTATGTATATGCCATCGGATATTAATATGTTTTCCCGATCTTTCTAAAAAAATACATTGTTAAGATCGGAATCGTTTTCTTTATCAAAATGCTATATTTCAGTTGAAATAATTCTAAATGTCAAGTAAAACAGACCATTTCCAAAGAACAAGGATTTAGCTGATAAAGTAGCAGCTGGTGTGTGCGTGTACTCGCGCGCCCGTGCTGAAGATTGAAATGGATACAAAAAGACGTGCACGTTTATGGAAAGCATCACATATAGCGACCTGATTCCTTTTCGCCCACTTCTGGGTCAACCGTGGGCAAGCGCTTGCTCGGGTCAAGTGCGTTTTACATTACCAAATGTGCATTATTAGAAAATATAAACCTCCTGAAACCTGATAGCCAGAAAATTCTGAGAATGATGTTTCCAGGATATTAACATTTCACCCAGTCAAATCCCCCTCTCTCTCTCACCCTCTCTCTCTGTCTCTCTCTCTCTCTCTCTCTCTATATATATATATATATATATATATATATATATATATATATATATTTATATATATATATACAAAGAGATGAATAAAAGCAGAAAGAGCGAGAATTGCCACTTTGTGAAACACGTTCTTGCGTGGCTGCTTTCCTGAACGCTAAAATATTATCCTCTTCAAATCAAGGGTCAATCGTTCGCCATAACCTTCACTTCTTACCACCTCCTCTTTCATTCAACTTGTACACCCCGTTTATCATTACCAATTTAACATCATCTTCCTTGGGTGGGTCTCGTGTCTTGTTTGAGGCAAATTTAATTTCAAATACACACACACACATACACACGTACATATATGTATATATATGTATATATATGGAAACCGTCTTTAGGCCTGACGTGCTGTTAACTATTCATCCACGGAGAACTTTCCGTCAAAGCCAAATTACGACTTATAAACATTCAGCAAAGCTCAAATTACTACTTATAAACATTGAACAAAGTCCAAATTACTACTTATAAACATTCAGCAAAGTCCAAATTACTACTTATAAACATTCAGCAAAGTCCAAATTACTACTTATAAACATTCAGCAAAGTCTAAATTACTACTTATATACATTCAGCAAAGTCCAAATTACTACTTATAAACATTGAACAAAGTCCAAATTACTATTTATAAACATTCAGCAAAGTCCAAATTACTACTTATAAACATTGAACAAAGTCCAAATTACTACTTATAAACATTCATCTTCGACGATCTCTCTCGATATATCATTTCTTCTCCGAAACGTAACCTAACGTAAACAATGACAACATATTAGAATGGATTAAATCTGACAAATATTTTAATATATTTTCTGTTTAGACGTTATTTTTATGGATATAAATTATTTAAGTAAATGCTCTGTTTTAATTAAACAGTATTAATTAATCAATTTCTCGAACATTCAGGCCGGTAAATGTAATTAATAATGTTTTCATGCAGCAAAAACAGACTATCATTATTGTTTCCTCCGTGTATTGTTTGATATATTGAAATGTAATTGTAATCCTTGAAAATGACTAATGAATAATGAAAGCTTAGATTGGATTTACACATGTATCAATATAGTGATTTCCTTTCGTCTTTCAATAATAATGTTATTAAGCTTATTAGACAATATGAAAGGAACTTACTTAAAATAAATAGATAAAAATTGTCTATATTATTTAATGAAATATGCATCACTGAAAAATTGCTGCCTAAATATACACAATATTATTCAATATATCAATTAAATTTAATGAAATTTATTTGGTTAGACGACTCAAAGGTTTTCACTTGTCTATATGATTTAATGAAACATGCATATATATATATATATATATATATATATATATATATATATATATATATATATATATATAATGAAAAACAGACACTTTAAGGTACATATATATATATAGGTCCGATATTTTCATTCAGCATGTTTTGTTGAATAATCTGGACATAGTGTCTATTTGAAAATCAATATTGTTCTTCCTTACTTCGTTAATAACAGCGTTAAGAAAGTGATCCATGATTTTGTGAGTATTAAAATACTGTGGGTGTGGGTGTATGTGGGAGGGGGAGGGGGAGAATGCGATTTTTGTGATTCATATATTGTTTATTTTTATCATTTATATATAGTTAAATTCATAAAAAATGAGGTTGAAGAATACATCAAGCTAAAACATCGGGTCCCGTATAATCACCGAAGTTAAGCAACGTCGAACCTGGTCATTACCCAGATGGGTGACCGCTTGGGAATACCAGGCGCTGTAAGCTTTGATACGCGCGTGGTGTAATGGATAAGGTTTCGGAATTGTTAATCGGTGTGCGGTGTTTCAAATCCAGTTGGGTCTGTTATATTCATTCACGCGCAAATATCCTTAAGAAAGGTATGAAACTGCTTCTTCTCGTCTCAGTTAGGGGTTAATTAATAAGAATTCGTCTTACTAAACCATTCTTATCTTAAAAATTCTCACAATCCTAAAATATTTTCTTGTTTTTAATAAGCTGAAAAGGGGTGATAAACCGTAGAAAATCAGTTTTTTCGTTATTGAAAACACCATTATTATACGAATCAATCAAAAAAATATACCTACTTTGCGAGGTCATAAGATTAATAAAAATATCAAAAGAAATCAAAAGGTTATAAGTTGGAAAGGATCTAATGAAAATAAAGTGATGGTGAACTGTGCTTTGCTCAGATGCTTAAAATGTGAAAGGAACTATAATAAAATCTACAATTTCAGATATGAAGTATTGCGAGACATGGAGATTCATATAACTGACTAAAATCAAATTTAAGATCAATAACAAGATCAACGCTAGAAATAGAAATAAATCAACAAAAAAGAAACCAAAACATGATATAAACTTGACTAAAGGGGGAAAATGGATGAGGGCAATAATACAAGGTATAAAGAAAGGATAACAGATGAAGCAAAGGGTTGCTTGATTGACACTAATGGAAATTAAAAGCAGTAGGAAAAGCTCAGGCAGGAAGATTTGTGAAACGTGTCAGAAAATATATAGTCAGGAAGAATTTCGAAAAGCTATACAGTAAGTGTCCGGGTTACGACAATCCCAACCTATGACGATTCGTGGTTACGACGCAATTTCCGTTAATGTTGGTTCCACATGTTGTATACCCCGTACATAAGATGGCGTGGGTCAGTTCCTGATTGTACGCCATATTGGATTGTTGTGCATTCGCTCTCTTTCGTTTGTGGTGTGTTTGTGGAAATTTATTGCCCTTCATAATGGCTCCCAAGCCCATTGCAATCTTCTCTGATGCTGGTGCTTCTAAGAAAATGAAAGTCATCTGCATAGAAGTGAAATTAGACATTGATAAATACTCTAAAATGAGGAGAAGGAGCGACGAACATTGACCGGTTGCTTGCCAAACATGAATTTGTTTTTCTTTCTTCGACAGATTTTCTGTTGCTTCCAAGTACTGCAAGAGATACATCTTACGCAACGTTTTCTCATCTATCGAGAGCCAATGACATCACTGGCAATAAATATACAAGCAGCTTTGAACAATTTCATTTCATTATATGTATTATATTTATGTCCTCTATCTGAGTCAGTTCCTGATTGTACGCCATATTGGATTGTTGTGCATTTGTTATGTCATAGATTATTACTTTACTATTGCATTAGCGTAGGTGAGTAATGTAAGTGCTTAATTCACAGAAAACCGTGAGTATGTTTCGACTTACACGAAAAATCGCATTACGATCCATCGTAAAAACGGAAATCCGTCGTAAGTCGACGACCCCAGCGCGGTTTTGGTTTAAATACCTAAACAGACTGAACTCTGTAGTCGTGGTTAGTTATCAGTCTAGGAGAAAGGCAACTCTAATTGAAAACTTGTTCGTGTGCTAATGAAATAACGAGTAAACCTTAAATCTTATTCTTTTATAAGTATATAGTAAAATCGACTCTGAGACATGTAATAGACACCCTCTGTTCTGGTCTACTTTCCTCCTCATTACTGCATGTTTAAATCTTGGTTAAAAATTTGGTAAAGATATAATTCTCTTGTTAGAAGAGAAGTGTTCGGTTATGGGACACTAGGTTTTTAGCCCTAGTGAGGTGTGTACTATACAAGCCACTGAAGAGGATGACAAAGTTCCCAATTAGCTGTGACGCGAAGTTGTTGACTCTTGGAGATTTCAACTGAGTTCGAATAAATTAAAAAGGTACGACATATATTCTGGAAGGATATCTGATTTTTGGTCGTTTCCATGAAAACTGATTCCAATGGAGGTCTTTATGGTTTGTACTTAGTCTACGACAAGTGCTGTCAAAATCATCATTGGAACGAAATTCGTTATTGAACTCGCGAGCTTCAATCAAAATCAAGAAGTTAAGACTAGTCTGTTGGAAATCTCTAAATCACACACACGTACACTCTCCCCGTCGCTGTCCCGAAAGAAAGAAAGAAAGAAAGAAAGAAAGAAAGAAAGAAACTCCATGAATTTCCATCCTTGGGGGGAAAAAAAAGCATTTTTGATTCCGATTTCTCTCCTTTGATTTCCTCCCTCTTTTATCGTCATCCACTCTCTGTCTCTCTCACTCTCTCTTTACTCCGTTTTCTTGCTTATTTCTCACATCTTAGACTCTCTCCCTCTTTCACTCTCTCTCTACCTCTCCCTCTCTCTTTCTCTTTCTTTCTGTCTGCATGTCTTTCTCCCCTCTCTGCCTTTCTCTCTCTCTCTCTCTCTCTCTCTCTCTCTCTCTCTCTCTATCTATCTATCTATCTATCTTAGAAAAGACACGAAGGTATTTTTTAGATTTCAATTTTTAACATAATTCTTTCTAGAAATTTCCACCTTATGGAAAATATTTTCTTCACTGCATTCTGTTTCCTTTGATTTCTTCTTTCTTTTACCGTCCTCCTCTCTCTTCCTTTATCTCTATATCTATCTCTCTACTTCCTCTTTATCGTTATACACTCACTTATTCCTTACGCTCTCGCTCCCTTTCCTCCCTCTTTATCCCTGTTCTTGCTTTCCCTTCATTTCTCATGCTCTCTCCTTCTTCTTCCATCTTCTTTCCGCCATCTTCTTTCTTACTCTTTCTGTTTCTCCGTCTTTCTTTCTTTCTCACTCTCTCTCTCTCTCTCTTTCTCTCGCTCTCTCACTTTCTATTCTACTCCCGCTCTCTCTTTATCTCTCTCTCTCTCTCTTTATCTCTCCCTCTCTCTCTCTCTATTTCTTTCTCTCTCTTGTCCTTGCCTGCAATCATTTCAGGCGATTTTCTTGCTAAATCTCACTGATCTCAAGCGATATAACTTTTATAAAATCTATAAAATAGACCAGCATCAATCACAGAAACTTAACCCGATTTTAGGGACGGGAGTATATTTATACAGGTTGTCCATAAAGGTCGTGTGCACTTTAAAAAATTTATAACTTTATTTGTATTTGCGATAGAAATAATTTGTAAAAAGGATCTGAAAGAAGAAATTCTATATTTTTTAATTTTTTATTGAAATTTTATTTAAGTTTCCACATGTCCTCAATCAGCAGCAATACAAAGGGTAATACGATTTTGCAGTTCACAGAAAACATTTGCCAACTGATTTACAGTAATGCCTGAAATCACATTAGTTATTTTAGCTATACTTAAAACTAGGTACATTAAACTTTATAACATTTTTTACAGATTATTTCTATCGCAAACATAATTATAATTTTTTTAAGTGCACACGAACTTTATGGACACCCTGTATATTTCCTCACGACCATTTCTCGTTATTTGCATATGTTCCCCACCCCGCCTTATAAGATCAGCGAAGTTTCCTTTGTGATTTATGCTAATACCAAATTACAGGAATCTTTTTCCGGATTCTAAGAACGTATATATTCAGATTCAATCAAGATCTATGACGCATTTTGATAAAAGTTACAAAAGACATCTGTCTGATAATTTCGTCACAAATAAATATAAGAAATACAATTGAGACAGCCAAACTGCTTCATTAAAGGAATGAAGTTAAAACTTAATTAAAAAAAAAAATTCTTCCCTTTTTCGGTAAGTATTCCAGTCAAAATGTCGGCGACGAAACCGACTATCACACTCCAAGTTACGAGTGAGGCGGCTCTTTACCAAGCCAAGGGGACTAAAAACAAGACCTAACAAAGGGTGGAGGAACTCTCTGAGTCAACGGTCAGCTAACCAGAGGTGGTGCCTCCATAAACCACCTTGAAGCAGGCAACGGGAAAGCACTCCACTACAAATCACAAGACAAATCATGGCTAACAACTCAGATTAGGTGGAGAGCCATGATCGCCTACGTCTTGAAAGGACATGGCACATAAAAAGAAAGAAAGAAGAATACCATGGACAGAGAATGTGACTAATGTGGAAGTTCTAAGAAGAATAAAAAAAATACAAGGTAACTACTAATGTTTAAGAATCAATAAGATATCTCGCGAAAAAGGAAACATATTGGCGAATTTAACACACACAAGGCACATCGGAATAAACGCAACCGACTTGACAAGTTTAAGAAAATAAATGAATGAACAAGAAACTTGGCAATTTATATTTCCTTATAAACACTTCTAGCTTTTCTTTCTTTCTTTCCTTCTTTCTTTCTTTACTTCATCCCCGCTCTTTCTTGCTTTCTCTTTCTTTCTTTCTCTCTTTCTTTCTTTGTTATTCCTGATTTATTTATTTATTTATCCTTTCTTCACTCTCTTCCTTTCTTTTCTTTCTTTCATTCTTTTACATTTCTTTCTTTCTTTTTTCATTATTAGTTTCTTTCTCTTTATTTATTTCATTATTTTCTTTCTTTGCTTCTCACTTCTTTCCTTTTCTTTTTGTCCTCTTTTTCTTTTTCTTTCTTTTCATTTATTTCACTCATTTCTTAACCTCCGTCGCTTTCTTTCTTTCTTTCTTTCCTTTTCTTTCTTAATTTTCATAAAATCTTTCTCTCTTTCTCTAAATCTTATTTTCTCGACTTTTTGTTTTCCTTCCTTCCTTCCTTCCTTCCTTTCCTTTTTGTTTCCTCCCACACTTCCTGCCTTTTCTTTCTTTCTTTCTTTCTTTCGTTCGTTCGTTCTTTCTACTCCCTTTCTCTTTCTTTCTAACTCTCCCTTTTCTTCATTCCTTCTTTCCATTAAGTTTTTCTTTCATCATCCTTTCTATCATATCTTATTCCCATTCTTATTTCATCTACCTCACCTTCCTTTTCTGTGCACGAATTCTTGAATAAATAATCGTTTTCTTCATGTCTTGTAACGGGAGCTACTTTCGTGACATTTG